ACTCTTGTCTCTCTCTCTCTCTCAGAAATTAAAAAAACATTTTAAAAAATTAAATTAAGAAATTGTATATAATGACACTCCTTTGCAAATGCTGATTTACGGAATTTTTATTTATTTCCTACATAATCACTGTTTTTGTTGAAATACTATGAGATTTTTAATCTAGGTGATTATAAGTAGATTATTATTTTATAATTAACTTAACCTTTAATATTATTTGTAATATTTGCATCAAGTTTTATATGTATTAAACAATTATTTCCATTGAACACTAAGATTTACTAGTTTTATTGCACATCAGTAATATATTTCCTTATTCCTAAGTTTCAACGTTTTTTATTTTATTTTTGGGACAGAGAGAGACAGAGCATGAACGGGGGAGGGGCAGAGAGAGAGGGAGACACAGAATCGGAAACAGGCCCCAGGCTCCGAGCCATCAGCCCAGAGCCCGACGCGGGGCTCGAACTCACGAACCGCGAGATCGTGACCTGGCTGAAGTCGGACGCTTAACCGACTGCGCCACCCAGGCGCCCCCCTAAGTTTCTAATATTAGTTGAATTTTTCTATCAGTTGAATCACTTTTTGGCTTCAGTTTTTATTTTTTTTTTTAATTTTTTTTTTCAACGTTTATTTATTTTGGGGACAGAGAGAGACAGAGCATGAACGGGGGAAGGGCAGAGAGAGAGGGAGACACAGAATCGGAAACAGGCTCCAGGCTCCGAGCCATCAGCCCAGAGCCTGACGCGGGGCTCGAACTCACGGACCGCGAGATCGTGACCTGGCTGAAGTCGGACGCTTAACCGACTGCGCCACCCAGGCGCCCCGAGGCTTCAGTTTTTAAAAGGTGAAAGATTTATGCAATCTGAAGAGAAACCAGAGCATTTGGCTTCAGTTTTTAGAAAGGTCCTGTGTGAACACCTTCTGGGTCCTTAGATAGCTGGAGATATTTTTCTGTTGTTTTTGTGTACAACTAAGAGTTAACTATTCAAAATTCATATAGTATTTTGGTTGTTTTTCAGTTTCCTTTTCTCTCTCTCTCTGTGGGTAGTTTAAGAAGGCAATTCAGAAAATTTTACCAAGGGATAACTAGTGCAATACCATTTTTAACCAAGAGACTACAAACCATTATTCAGAAAGGGAGATGAAATGAAATCAATGTAGTTCTCCCAGAATGCATAGCATGCAGCGTGGGATAGGACCAGCTCTAAGGAGGAGCAAGATTTGTGGCTCATGAGGGCCCTGCTCTGCTTTGCTCTACCTTTACTCATTAGCTGCTGGTTTGGGCCATTTTCATAATGAGTCAAATCACCACAGATATCCTGAAATGGGAAGCAAAAGGAAATGAAATTGAACTATGGCATTTGCTTCCCACTAGTCTAGAAGCCTACGAGTGCCATGGATGCTAAATCTAAGACCTGACAAGTTAAATCTATATATATTATCGTTGGAACCTTATAGCACAAATTAATTGTGCGCTAGTCTACTTTTTCTCTTTGTAGGAAAGGTTTATGTATCTTGTATGTCTGAAAATATATGAGAATCTCTTTACAGTGGCACAAACATACCTTCTGCTGATTTTTTTTCTTAGTTATATGTTTGCTTGTTTTTGTCTACTTATTTTGAGTAGTATCACTGGGTGCTGATAGCTGATCACACTCATTTCAGTTATTTCACAGAATCATGAAGAGACGGGAGTAGAGTGGTGAAGTGGAAGAACATGGCAAAGCCACGTGCTGGAACACAGTTGCCACAGGGACAGGAGTCATATAGTAGGGCAGGCTGCCTGGGATCTGATTGTAATGGCATAAGAGCTGCCATTCATTAATTCAAACATCAATTGACCGCCGTCAGCTGTAGTTGAGCAAAAATGGATTTGTTTCTGAAATGTACCTTCTCCCAGTTTTTATTTTTCCTTGCTAGATTTCCATAGAAAATTGTTCTGACTCAGTTGTCAAATAAATTTTTCTTGCTCACACATTTTATGCTCTTCTGTAGCAAACCAGAATTTAACACCTTCAGTTTTTATCAGTTGCTTTTGACTTGTGGATATTTTGAATGTTGAAAGTTTGCCACAGATTCAGTGGGGATTCTGTGAGGGGACCATAAATTATTTAACCTGCTACCTGAATGTGAGTGAATTCCCCTCCCCCTCACTTTTCCTCTCTATATAGTAAGTACAGTCATCTTTTTTACTCACCTGTATTTAGTGGTTAAGGAAACCAACATTTGTCAAATGGCTAACTCTTTCAAGATAGGACTTTAGAGTTTGTATGCTTTCTGTATTTTACACAGGTCTAGATTACAGATGGAATATGTACAAGTCAGGTTTATTGGCAGATTGGGCAAATCATACCCATTGTGTGCATTTTCACTTAGTTAACGAATACTCCATGAGCGTCTTCTATGTGCCAGGCTCTGGGAATTCAGTGATGGCGATGACATTTGACTTCTGTCTCTCGGGCACTATGCGAGGGTGAGAGGAAGTCTGGGCAAACATTCCAGGGGGCCTCCTGTGATCCTGTAGTCCACTGAGAATGCCATTTCACTATTTTCTGCAGGGGCATCTTCTTACTCTTTAGTTGTACTTTTCTGTAGAAGTCAGAAGAGATATCATACTCTATATGTGCATAATTAAGTTATTTTGTAAAGAAATCTTTCCTCGCCTTTTCATTGTAAAGTATAAATGCATCCTCTTGGGAAGTAGAATGTCAGGAAATAGTGAATGGCAAACATTTAAAATTTAAATGAGTGCTCATCAATCCTGATTGCATGTTAGAATCATCTGGAGAGCATTTAAAATATCCTATTCTTGCCCCTCTCCCTCCAGAATACGATTTAATTTGTCTGGGGTGACACCAAGGCATTGAGTTGGATAGGTGGATAGATGAATCAATGAAAAGAGTAATAAAAACTTCATAATATATTAAGGAGGACATTGAAGCCAGGCAAATCTAGGGGCGGGAGAAGCCTAATGAAGCCAGAGATCATCGACATCCACAAAATACAATACAGTTCAATGACATGTGAACCTGGATCAGATTTGGGCTTTGTGCTCTTAACCAGGTAAAACAGGGGAAACAACCACTCTGGTGGTCACTCTGGTGACCATTAGATTAAAAACCAACTTGTCGTCTGTGAAAGCTTAACCAGGTAAAACAGGGGAAACAACCACTCTGGTGGTCACTCTGGTGACCATTAGATTAAAAACAAACTTGTCGTCTGTGAAAGCTAGCTTTTTCAGGACCAACACTAACCAAGGGAAATCAAGAGGACCCCTGATAATAATGAGGTGTAGGATATTTTTAACATATCTAGATTTAAAAAATGAAATAATGTTTTCTATAATGGATGGCACAATCTGGAAAGCCTTTTTAGTCAGTTGAATGCTAAACGGGGTGAGCCTCTACCCTAAGGGATGATTGGTCTCTGTTAGGTGTGTGTCACTTTCTGCAACCAAGTGCCACTTTATTGCCTCCAAGGCCCCCGCATGGTCTCAATTCTGCATGTCCTTGGCCATTTGACCACATCATCTGTCACTAACCTCTTCTAAACTTGTGTTAGCCATACTGACTAACTCAATATCCCTTGAACATTCTACACTCATTCCTACCTCATGGCCTTGACATTTTTAAATTCCTCTATCTTATATGCCATTTCCCCTAATTATTGCACAGCCAGCAATTCATGACAAAGAATCTGGTCAAATAGCACTTTCTTTACCTCCTGATGTAATGCCACCTCCCTCCTTTATGTTTATTGTGTTCCATCATATTATTTTGCTTAACCATTTTTGTAAAACCCTTTCACCACCTGAAATTACCTTAGTGACTTGTTTACTTAATTATGATCTTTTCTATTTCATAATTCTTACGTGCTGCTACATTCCCAGCACCTAAAATGGTGCTTGACACTGTAGCTATTCAATAAACTATCAGTTGAATGAGCCAATCTATCTTTTCATGAATACTTGACCATATGTAATTATGCCATGTTTTTGATGAAACACAGAACCAGATCCTTTCATAGTAAGCAGAATTGGAAATACAGCTGACATCCTGTCACTAAAGGGGAAGATACAGACCAGGATACCTGGCCAAACGAAAGGCCACCTCTAATCTTGTGGACAGTTTGAAGACCTGTGTTTTGTAAGGCCTAATTATCCTCTTCCTACTTTAAAAATTTTTTTTAATGTTTATTTATTTTTGAGAGAGACAGAGACAGAATGTGAGTAGGTTAGGGGCAGAGAGAGAGGGAGACACAGAATCCGAAGCAGGCTCCAGGCTCTGAGCTGTCAGCACAGAGCCTGGTGTGGGGCTTGAACTCACGAGCTGTGAGATCATAACCTGAGCCTAAGTCAGACGCTCAACCGACTGAGCCACCGAGGCGCCCCATCCTCATCCTACTTTTAAATTCACAGTGACCTGAAACTGTACTGTTCTAGTGGCAATTATTTTTCCTGTCTTTCTGTTTTGTAATCAGTTGTTTATGTTTAAACTCCAGATCCTAAACAGATCTACATGAAACTCCAATTTTTACAGTGGCACAGGAGAGTTTTGTAATGTACCTGAGCCTTGACTTCACTTCCATAAAATATGGTTTTAGTAATAATAGCTACTGCTTAAAGGTATTTTGAGAATGTAAGGAAGTATTCCTTGAAAAGCACTTAGCATAATACCTGGCATAGAGGACACACTCAAGAGAAGTCACTGACGATAATATTGAAGATGCCAATTATAATCTTGATTTATTAATTATCATTATCCTTATTATTATTATTTTCTCCCTGCCCTCCCTTATAATCCACTGATTTCACAAATGACATCACCATGAACCAATTTTATTGGTTTCCTGAATATACACACTAATCTGATGTGAATTAACCAAAAATATACCCCAAACACTCAGTGCAAAGGCTTGGTTTTGTTCAAAGAGGCAATTTCCCTAATAGTGTGACCTCTTTTTATCTTTTCTGTGCCTTTCCTAACTTGCCCTGGGTACAGAGGAGAAGGCCAAGAAGGAAGCAGAGGAAAAAGCTCGCCTGGCCGCGGAGGAGAAGCAAAAGGAAATGGAAGCCAAAAGCCAGGCTGAAGAAGGCGCGGCTGGCAAAGCTGAGAAAAAGACATCTGGAGAAGCTAAGAATCAAGTCAATGGAACTCGCACAAACAAAAGCGACAACCCTCGTGGGAAAAATTCCAAAGCTGAGAAGTCCTCAGGAGAAAAACAACAGAATGGTGAGTACAGTTTCACCGGTGAAAGGCTCTTTTTGGGGTGCTGATGACGTGATGAATGGAAACTGGCCAACAACCACACCCGTGAGGACGGCTCTCAGGACAGGGCTTCTGTGGTCTTCCAGCTGCTGCTGATCACACCTCACTGGGCCGTGGACCCCATTAGGATCCCATCAAAAGCAGCCAGAGCCTTGCTTGAGCCATTCTTTCTGGGGAGATTTATACCTTCCAGGCCTTTCCCAGCTGTTCTGGAGACTCTGGCCAGTGCCTGCCTATCCACTGGGGAAATACCTGTTAACAATCCCAGCACATTCCTGAGGGCTTATTGCCCAGATGGGTGGACTGGAAAATCAGTCTTCCATATATACTATCCCTTTAGTAGGCAGGGCTGGGGCCCTGGTCTATCTAGGGTCTGTTCCTATAGTATGTGTCTGGCCATCTGTAGGTGAATAAGTATATACATTAGGGTGACCACCTTGCCCGGGACTGAGGGGCTTCCTGCATGCAGAGCTTTAGGTTTAAAATTTTTTTTTTTTTAATTTTTTTTTTTTAACGTTTATTTATTTTTTTGGGACAGAGAGAGACAGAGCATGAACGGGGGAGGGGCAGAGAGAGAGGGAGACACAGAATCAGAAACAGGCTCCAGGCTCTGAGCCATCAGCCCAGAGCCCGACGCGGGGCTCGAACTCACGGACCGCGAGATCGTGACCTGGCTGAAGTCGGACGCTTAACCGACTGCGCCACCCAGGCGCCCCTAAAATTTTTTTTAATGTTTATTTTTGAGAGAGAGAAAGAGAGACAGAGAGAGCGAGCATGAATCAGGGAGGGGCAGAGAGAGGGAGACACAGAATCCAAAGCAGGCTCCAGGCTCTGAGCTGTCAGCACAGAGCCTGACGTGGGGCTCGAACTCGTGAACCACGAGATCATGACCTGAGCTGAAGTCAGATGCTCAACAGACTGGGCCACCCAGGTGCCCCAGAACTTTAGGTTTTAAGACCAGAAAAGTACCAGGATGATCTGGATGATTGTACTTACTGTTGATGATTTCTTAATATTTACGGCAACAGATATTTATTGGTTAATAACTATGTGCGAAGCACTGTGGTTGGCACTGAGAATTTAGAAATGGAAAAGCCATAGGAAGTCCCCAATCTCATAGGGGTATGAACATCCTCAGAAGTGATTCCGAGCTAGTAACAGTAGTAGCATGGCTGATAAAATGCCCAAGGATCATGTCAAAAAAAAGACATTAGCTTTGTTGCATCTGGGGATTGTGGAATGGAGAAATGTCACAGAAAACTTCAGGAGGTGGTGATGCCTGAACTTTGCTTTAAATGCTGAAGTTTGCTGGTCGGATGGGAGACTGGGACTTCTTAGACAGAGGGAGCAAGATGAGCTGAGGCACAAGGGCATGGAGTTGGTTACCTTCTTCAGGGAAGAGCAGGAAGTTCAGAGTCTCTGGAGCTGTCAAATGCCAGGTTGTGGCAAGGTAGTTTTGCAGTCAGACAGACCTGGATTCAAGTTACAGCTGTGCCTCTCACTTCTAAGTGGCCACGGCCAGGTTACTTAACCTTCTCCTGTCTCTGTAAAATGTGTGTAATAATATCTGCTCACAGCAAGGACCACTTGTGAGCTTCCAGTAATGATAATGATAGCAAAAAACAATTACAGCAATAGAACAAACTAGGATTTATTGACTATACACCAGATGCTGTTTTTTTTTTTAATGTTTATTTATTTTTGAGAGAGAGAAAGAGAGAGACAGAGAGTATGCATGTGCACGAGCAGGGGAGGTGCAGAGAAAGAGAGACATAGAATCTGAAGCAGGCTCCAGGCTCTGAGCTGTCAGCACAGAACCCAACACGGGGCTCGAACCCACAAACCACGGAATTATGACCTGAGCCAAAGTCAGACACTTAACCGACTAAGCCACCCAGGTGCGCCTACATCAGATGCTGTGTTAAGTCCTCTCTTTATGTATGTATTCTCTTACCTGCTTTATAGGGCCATACTATAGCTATTATGTATGCTACATAGCCTGAGTAAATGAGAAATATATAGAAGGTGCTTAGCACGACACTCTCCAGTTATTTTTATAATGAACATATATAACATGTAGAATCAGAAAACAGTATTTTAATACATATGATAATGATGATAGCTCATATCATGTTTCAAGAATTTTACATAAATTCCCTCAGGTAACCTCTTGACCACCAGAGGAGGTAGAGAAGGCCTTTATCCACTTGTCCAGACCCTCAGCAGCCTGGTTCTAGAGACTGCTCATAGCTCGTTTGTTTTGTATTCAGGTGCATCATGGTCCAGAAAATATGTTCAACTTTATAAGAATTTATGATATACCTGTTGGAGTTTTAGAGGGCAGTGCGAAAGACCCCATCTCATCCACTCCTGAGGTCAGAACCAACTAAGAGAGAGATACCAGAATCAAAAAGTCCATGATCAAAATATTAGCTCTGCTGCAACTAGAATTGAATTGGAAAATGTGATCTTGGTCTGCTGAGCACATGGGCTACGTCACACATCTGCCCTGAGCTGAGCTTAGCCAACCAGACACTGGCAGAGCAGACAGGACTAGGACCACCACCCCTGCCTCCCGCCACCACCCCAGCATCCTAGCACCCCAGCAGGCTGCTTCTGGAGTGGCTGAAAAGGTGTATGTTTTGTGGAAAACACATCTCAAAGGGAGTTGGGAACCAGAGAAATGGGTGGCTGGGCTGAGCTTTGCATTCTCAAACTCCTCCTTCTAGATGAGTCTCTCCTTCCCAAAGGAGGAATATGTAAGGGCTCCTGAGAGAGGCAAGATGTATTTCTTCCCTATTTGTTTGTCTTTTAGGAAAGTGGGTAAAAAAATGGCTTTCCCTTAATAAACATAGTTATTGTAATATCTCTAACATTTAATGAATGCTTAACATCTGCCAGACATTGTACATGAGATTTTATCTACATTTAAAAATGCTAACGACTCTGGAGGTACATACCTCGTTCCCATTTTACAGATGAGGAAACTGAAACTCAGAGAGGTTAAATCACTTTCTTAAGGTCAAGAAACCACTAAGTAGAGATTTCAGGTCAAATTCAGATCCGAGTCCAAATTTTATATTTCATAATCAGCATGTCCCTACTATTTGCAAGTTTTGGCACTACTGGGGAGAACAGGAAATCAAAAATATTGAGGCTCAGTGGAGGTCCACAAGAAGCTTATGATCTGTTTATTCCCGGGATTGGCACACTTTTTCTGTAAAAGACCAGATAGTGAATAGTGTAGGCTTTGGGAGCTATGCAGTCCCTGTTACACCTGCTTAACACTCCTGTTTTAGTGCAAGCAGCTACAGCTAACATATAAACAAATCGGCATGGCCATATTCCAATAAAACTTTATTTATGAAAATTCAAGTTTCAATCCTATACAATTTTCAAACATCATTAAATATTCTTCCCTTTTTTCAACCATTTAATAATGTAAAAACTATTCTTAGTTTGTAAGCCATGTAAGACCAGGTACTGGGGCCATGTTTGGCCCATGGGCCATAGTTTACCAATCCCGGGTCTGGTCAGGGAGAGAAACCAATGAACATAAACATGCCAGTCATAGAAATGGTTATGAATTTTATGAAATGGGTACAAACAAATACCCAGAGAGGGCAAAGATGGCAGTAATTTATTTTGAAGACTGTAAGAGGGAGAGCCTGAAAGGAACAAACAGGAGCCCAAGTTTTCAGCTAGGCTGGGTTGGTTTCACAACTGTGTTTATTTCCCAAAGTAATCAACAGTCTACCATTTCCCTTAAAAATTAAGTATTAAATAAGAGATGGGAAAATAAGTCAATTTTGAGCAATAATAAGAAAGGCTAATGATGGTTTGAGACTGTGTTACAGGAGCCTAATTAAAATGATTTATAACTGCGCAGAAAGGCTCTTTTGTTTCCCCTGTTTATTGAATAACAGCTCATATCAGCCATTACTCCATATACAACCCATGGGAAATTACCTAATGGGTTATGTTCAAGGAACATCATCAAACAAACATGTGTCACTTTCCCAGCGCCCTTCTTTGTGGTCACCCAAGATACTTCCAGGATAGAACTGAAGGATTTTGGTTAAGTGGGGTTCTGGAGGTGTGGTCCTTTTCAGCAACTATGAGATCCCCTAAGCTCTGGTCTCCATCAAGGTACTTTCTCTATCAGCCTCCCCAACCCTGACTGAGGAGAAGCCAGGCTGCCACAAGCTGCTGGCTAGAATCCAGCAAATTGAACCCCTGCTGCTGACTTCTGGAAGACATCCTGGTCTTTTGCTGCAGCTGTACCTAAATCTCCAGTCCAGGGAAACCCTGAAGGCATAAAGCATTGTGCATTAGGGGTGTGAAGGCTCATTTGGGAAAGGAAGATCATTTTTCTGCAGGGAATTCATTTGACCACAGGGCTTAAGATCCTTGAATCTATCTCTGGCATCCTTAAAACAGGAAGAAGCCAGTATTTGAACTGTTTCATGGAACCTCCAAAGGAATCCTCTCTTTGGCCATTTATGGTGGTAAAGGGTGGTGACCGTTTCCTTCACTTGAACTCCTCCTGCTTACACTGTGGCTAAAGTTGACCTTTTTCCTCAATCCCTTCAGCCAATTCATCCCATTCAGAATTAAGAGGAAACTTGGAGAATTTACTGACTCCCAACTTAATTTAGGATTTGTCGAATTTTATTGAAAATACATTGTTAATGTATCACAACCCAAAATGGTCTTGAGTTTTCCTTATGTAATCATTTCTTTATAAATCTGTAGACCAAAGGCATTTAGAAATGGCAACAGTGAACAGAAGCCCGAAATCAGAAAGTTACACTTCATAGGGAAGTTGCAAGATACAGTAGTTGAGAGCTTAGCCTCTAGAATCAGACCCATCTATGTATACTGTAGTAAATTACTTTATCCATGCCTTAGGTTCCAGAGCCATAAAATGGAGATGACAATATGAGTTTCATGTCAATTCTTCACAAGTCGGTTTAAACAAAATCACTTTGTAGAAAGATCAATTGGCCATTTATGCAAAAACTATTAGTCGAATGGCTTAAACCAGATCCACGGTAGCCAACAGGAGCAGTTGTGCTGCCAGAAGGAGACACATATGCAAGGTTATGGGCATACACAGTGCACTGTGTTCAACAAAGCTGGGCCAACCAGTATATGACAGAGTGGCTGCAGGGAAGTTAGAAGAAAACTCAGACTTGGAAAACCTCTTCAATCATTTGATGAGTTTGCTATTCTGCAGATTGATACTTTAGTGAATTAATCTTTGATGAATTTATCTACTTTCAATAGTAGTACCTTCATAGGGGTTGTTACAAGAATTTAATGAAATGACGCATGCAAAGCATTTGGCACACTGCCTGGCACAAAGAAAGCAAAAAGAGATAGGACCCTGCTCACTTCTTCCTGGTTGTAATTATTCTTAGGGTCTTTTCCCTTCAATAGTACCAGTATTTTAGTTGTAATCTATTCTGGGTTTTATGCAGGCTACAACAGAAAGATGCCATCAGTAAGACTGTAAGAAAAAATTCCAAAACTTGAGAATAAGGCTGGGGGAAAGGGTGCCATGTCCTTTCAATGTCACACTGGCATACTGTTGAACACACATGCCCAGGGATTAATTATCTTAGACAGGGGTCGGCAGACTTTTTTTGCGTAGACCCAGCCAGTAACTATTCCTGGTTTTGCGTGTCTCTCTTGCAACCATACAGCTCCTACCACTATAGCATGAAAGCAGCCACAGACAATATATAAATGACTGTTTCCAAAAAAACCTTTCTTTCCAGATTGGCCCATGAGCTATCGTTTGATGACCCTGGCTGTGGGAGAACATGACTATGTCTAACTTTGTCATTTACTATTTGACTCAAGCCTAGGTGCTCTGAAGTTCTATGCTAACTTACAGATTTTTGACTGTTAGAGGAGATAACCCCCCGAAGGTTTTTATTTTATTGTACGACATAACCAGTTTTATTTCCAACACAACCGTCTTATTTTAACGGTTTTATAAAATGCCTATAAATACCCATTTCCTTAAATGCCCTTGAATACCATCCTCGCTGTCTCTCTGGTTCCTTCATAAATGAATTAAGTAAGTGTTTGACACGTGTTTATTGTACATTTGTTTGCGTAGTGTTTTTTAACATTTACGAATCATGTTTCAACAAGCTCATTACTTAGAATACTATTTATAGCTCTGTTTTACAGTAACAATTGTCATTGAGTGAAGGGCTAGATGATTTATTCAATACCTTAAATACATTTGTCCTTATATTATGTCTATAAAGTAGTTATTATTATCCCCATTTTGCAGATGAGGAAACTGAAGCATATAGAAGTTAAATAGCTATTACCTGGTATAACTTACATTTGACTTAAGTTTTTCTTCACTCCACAGCCTAATAATAAAGCTGAACTGCCTTTCTTGGAAAATAAACATTCTTGGATTAAGCAAACATTGTTTAACAGGAGCTTTGTCTTAGTTTCTGTATTGTAATCTAATTTTTGAGGCCTAATATGTGGCTATAAAAGATATTTACATTCAGACATGTACCCCCTCGTGACTAAACTTATGCACTTCTTTTTCCTCTACTTACCTTGACAAGTTTAAGGATATTTATAACTTCCCTTTTAGCTATATACTGTTTGTCATGTTTATTACTTTCAGGTGACTTGAAAGATGGTAAAAATAAGACCGACAGGAAGGATCAATCCAATGTCGGAAATGATTCAAAGAAAACAGATGGTAAGAACATAATTTCCATTATACTTTTCCATAAAGTGTGCAATTTAATGCAATTTGTTAGAATTACACCTAAAATTGAAATCATGGTTGTCAATATATTCTTATATTATACCCTAAAAAAACCACTTCACTACATTTAACGAGTAGTCTATCCCTTTTTCGATAATTTACAGATGATTGTTTTATCTCTTCCTCCCCACCATTCTTTCTTCATCATAAATACATTCTCTACTCTCGCTTTATCACTTGCCATTTTTTTCATTTTAACTTTAAAGTTGACTGTGGACTTGATGATTAGAATGGAATACAAGTCTTTGCGAAATGTGCAGTATAAATGGGAAATGCTCCATGTTTTCAGTTTTCATATTTTTTCTTTTAATGAGGAATTACTAGTTTCAGTAAAAACAGATACCTGTTCAGTGTTATCACTATGTTGGGAAACCCACCTATTGGAGAACATACAGAGTGTAGAAAGCAGTTTGGTCAGCGAGAATAAGTCTTAAAGGCAAGCTTTGGATGGCAATCTCAACCAAACAGATTAGAATGAAGCTATCTTGTGATATGCTCCATGGATGCCGCTCTTACTTTTCACAAAGAGCATTCTACTCTTTCCAAAACCTGAAAGTTCAGATTATATTATCCTTCAGACTTTGTATTGTCCTACTGAGAAAACTGTTCTTGCCTTATATAGAAATCTACTATTTCAGTTGTGACATGGGCTTATTCCTTGTGGCTCCTTCGTACATGTACATGGTTTTGTTAGAGTCCCAGACTCTCTTTGATTCACACTTGCCTGCACCGAATGCTACCTTGGTTCTAATGTCATTGAAGAACAAATATGGGTATTCAGACTGAGAAATAAGAAGAAATTTGAACACAACTCCTCACATATCTATTAAAAAGGAAGCAACCTCTAGCTTTTGTCTCTAAGTCACTGTGACAGGCTTTCTTTACTCGTATGTGTGAAATCAGTTCTCAAGTCTTTTCTTTTAAGTTCATTCAAATAATTCACTCCAGGTGTCTTATCACATAATACCTAGGGAGCACCCATGTGCAGTTTTTCACCAGATTGTTTATGCAAATGGAAACCATGTACCTAATAAAAATACCCTCCTTGAAGATTGTGACTAAGACATGAATTACATGGAGACAAAACAGATTTCAAAATGACTGTCTCTTAGTCAGACTCTGTTATGGGTAAAGTTTGTTGCCACATATCATTAAACCCAAGTCAAGGTAACACAAGCCAGAAAGTGTGCAGTGGAGGAGAATGGTGTTAGATATTAACCCAGCACCTGGACACCAGGCCCATCCTGCATCCAGTGAGTAGCCCATATGAACTCCTATAGCGTAAAACTGAAGAATAAACTAAGTCCCAAATCTTTCACATCAGGTCTTGTTGCATTTTTATATTGTGCTAAAATATCTGCTATGACGTTGTCATGCAGGCAATGTGAATTAAATTTTATTACCTGCAATAAGCCCTTCTATTTTACTTGTGTCCTTTATAACTGAATTGTCCCCAAGTATTTAAATAATTAAACAGCTTTTTTAAAAGGAGGGTATGAGGGGAGGCACCTGGGTGGCTCAGTCAGTTGAGCATCCGACTTCAGCTCAGGTCATGATCTCGTGGTCTGTGCGTTCGAGCCCTGCTTCGGGCTCTGTGCTGACAGCTCAGAGCCTGGAGCCTGCTTTGGATTCTGGGTCTCCCTCTCTATCTCTCCCCCACTCATGCTCTGTCTCTCCCTCTGTCAAAAATAAATAAACATTAAAAATTTTTTTTGAAAAAGGAGGGTATGGGAAGGAGTGAATAGACACTATGTTCTATTGAACAAATAAATGTAAAACTTGATTTTTTAATGGATGGAATTCTTGAGCCCATAGCCCTAATTCAGTGAATAGGGTAAAGTAAGTAAAGAAGAGACATTTTCTGATATCTACCCCTTTTTCCCTCTATAACTCTTAACTTTCCACTGCTTCACATGGAGTCAGGTGTGTCCCTACACTAGCAAGTTTGTATACAAACTTGGACGTGAACAACTTTGTATTTTAATTTCACTGATGTGCTAGCATGACATCAGTCATTATCACTGCTTTGGTATCATAAGAACATAGGTCATTGGTTTTAGTTACTTGTGCTATCTTAACCAAAAATCTTTACCAGGACTAAAGCTCTTCTTGGTGGCATGAGTGGAAAAGAAATTGATTGGTCTCATTTATCTCTTCCTCTTTGCTCATCAAAACTCTCTACTTTAGATTTTTTTTAAATGATAGGTAGATCAGTGGGTACATTGACTTTTAAAAACTAGCATACATTTTGAACATTTCTTTTTAATAGATCCTATTACATTTGATGACCAGAGGGAGTCAATTTAACTATTTTTAATGCCCCTACCCCTCATATAACCCCTGGGAACCGGTGGTGACAGCTCTAATTGTTGAGAAGAAGTATCCAAGCACAATTCAGTGCCCAGTATGATCAAACCCACTGTGGTTTGAAGTTTCAACATTGTACGCATTCAGAAAGAAACCTGATGAAAACTGGACCACAGTTGGTTAATCCCATACGCTTTGAGCTGAGGCACACACAGAAGGAAGGGGTGTGTGCTGAAAGAGTAAATTACATCCTGGCACAGTGAACACATTGCAGTTGTACATTATCTCTGTCAGGCTGCTGAGGTACTATTTAGAATCCTGCAGCACTAATTTTCAAACTGACTTCAAAGAATGAATGTTCTTTGAAAATACCTTGTTTACCCTAAGGGAGAAATGTGCTAACATAAAAAGATCTGGGCCTCTGAGCCAAGATTCTCCCAGGGCCTAAACTTTACAGGGTCACTAGAAGAGTAGGATGCAAATGAATGAATGATTTTCAGTGTGTTTTTAGTCATGTTTGAAATAGCATAGCCTCTTGGGCCTGCCATAATTTTTTATAGTTGCCCAGAAATATGAACTTGCCCTTAACTTTGTCTGATTACATTAACAGAGATATAAGAGATAGCCACGATTTGTGTCTCTCAAAAGATTGATTATAATTGGGCCCTACAGGGTTATTTGCCAAATTCCAGAAAAAAAGTTCAGCAGGAATTTCTCCTTCACTGAATGTTCTAGAAATTGGAATGTTTAAAGGTGTTCATGAAATTTAAAAATCAATTGTGTAGAGTGAGAAGTGTGGACAAAGACTATCTATGGACCTCTGCTTCTGCCAAAGAGGACTAATAAGAATTAGATTTACCCTTTCACCTGAAATAATAATAATAATAATAATAATAATAATAATAATAATAAAAGACAACTTCTATGGAAGAATATGTTTTCAAGACACTGGACATTAAGAAATGAAGAACAGTGATCTCCAAGAAATAGGAAACAAATGAAATAAACCCTATGATTGTTCCAACTTACTCCTGAGAGGGTTTCCAGGCAGAATAAGGAGGGGGAACCCTGGCAGATGTGATGGATTCCTTGAGTTGAAGAGTTGAATAAAGGATCCAGGGAGAGCCATGGTGGCTAAAGTTAACAAGATAAAGTACCAGAGAGGAGAGAGCTGTAGAGATATAGAGCTCCAGAGATCTAAACAGTATACATCAAGGTACTGATTGACCAATAAAGATAGGAAGGTACCTGAGATCAGGAAAGAACCATTCAACTTAAGGATTAGAGGGAATGGTCCTGATGTTCATACTTCATATAATGCGGGAAAAGTGCCCATTCCCACTAACCAGCCTTGAATATCTCATAATTTAAAGGGATTTGAGTAGAATACTCCTAATAGTCTTGTTTTATTAGTAGGGGAGTAATTAGCTGTAGGCTAAATGATGATTTGGTCTCACCTAACAAGCCTTGAAAATAAGACATAAAAGAATCAAAGTGTTTTCAAATTACTGCATCCCAGAGTAAAGTTTATGGATATATATAGGAATATAAAAATATACAGTACCCAAAAGGTAAAATCCACAATGTCCAATATCCAATAAAAAATTATTAGACATGCAAAGAAGCAAGAAAATATGAGAGAGACAGAAACAATTGGAACCAACCCAGAACTGAAACAAGTTACAATAGCAGACAAGACCATTAAAGCTGTTCTTATAACTAAAGCCCATATGTATGGAAGTTGACTAGAGACATGGGAGATATAAAGAAGGCAAAATCAAACTTCTAGAGATGAACACTACAATGTATGATGTGGAAAACACACTGGATGGTATTGGCCAAATAACATTGGATGAGATTAGTAATAAATACAATGCATGAGATTAGACATTGCAGAAGAAAAGACTAGTGAAAAACTATCCAAAATGAGACAACAAAAAAATTGTAAAGAGCATCAGTGAATTGTAGGACATCTTCAACAGCCTAATATATGTGTAACTGGAGTCCCTAACATAAAGAATAGAGAAAGGAGGGAAGAAAAATATTTGGTGAAGTAATGGCCAAAATTTTGCCAAATGATGAAAACTATAAATCCACAGACTCAAGAAGCTTGGTAAAGCCCAAGCACAAAAAAATATGAAGAAAATTACACCAAAACATGTCATAATCAAATTATTCAAAAGCAGTAATGAAGAGAAAATTAAAAAAAAAAAATAGGTAGCGGAATAAAAAAAATCATGTACAATTGAACAACGGTAAGAATAACTATAGATTTCTTATCAGAAACAATGCAAGTGAGAAGACAATGGAGCAATGTCTTTAACATGCTGACAGAAAAAAAGAATTCAACTAAGAATTCTAAAACCAGCAAAAATACCTTTCATGTATAAAAGCTGAAAGAATTCACCAGTAGACCCACACTATAAGAAATGTTAATGAGAGGCAGTAGGATAACTATGTCAGTTACAAATATGAGCCTGAACAAAAGAATGAGGTACACAAAAAATGGTAACTAGACGGATAAGTATACAAGATTTTTTCATATCATTTCAAGCTCTTAAAGATCGTTGACTATTTGAACAAAATAATCAAAATAATAATAACACCTTTGATATATAACATAT